TGGAGAAGATGGATTGACTATACTCAAAATAAATATGGGACTAAGAAATTCCAGATAACTTATGAATGAATGAGTAAGGAGTGTTACAACTTATCTAAAGTTAGCTTTACAAAAGGGGAATTAAAGTACAAGCGAGGGATGATACTAAAGTTAGTTTATTTTAGTATACGGTTGGTAAATGTTTATACCCTGTATTTGCTGTGGGAGGTTGTGGGGGGGGAGAGTGGGAGGGGATGTGGGGTAGAGGGGGAGGGAGGGAAGGTATATAATTGTAAAACTCTTTAAAACTTTTAATTAAAAAAAAAGTTTACCTGAATAGTCCATGTTCCTGGTCCTGGATCTTTTATGTTTACTACTTTAGCAGAATTTTCAATATTTAGTAATTCATTCAAGCCAGATCCTTTCTTTACAGGTTTACCTACAGGACAGGCAAAGAATGAGTATCTTTATTAGTTATTTCAGTAATTCTCACATCTCACATCTCACAACTATGTTCTATGCAACACGAAATAATTTTGCCTTTCTGCAACTTTACCACAAACAGTGTTATGTTACCAACATATATATCCCATTTGACTCATGCATCCATTCATATATGGAGTGCATTTAACTTCCATTAAGTTAAATTGCTATAATAAGGATGTTCTCAGAAAACAGTGAGTTTGTATAGAGAGTTGTCTGTGGCTATGTCTCTATTTTAATCAAGTGAGTCACTGCTGGATTGGATTAAAGTCTGCAAGCAGAAACAACTGATTTAAATTTAATCATGATAAATTAGTGGTATAATTAATGGGCTAATCCCAGGATGAGCAATTAGGGAAAACAGCAGTCCCCAACTTTTTTTTAGAACCAAGAACCAGTTTCATGGAAGACAATTCTTCCACAGACTGGGAGGAGAAATGTTTCAGTTTTGCTGACTCAACCACCATTCATCTCCAGTTTATGCAGGCTGGTTCCTAACAGGATGGGAGTTGGGGATCATTATAGGAAAACCATCTACTTTAGATAGATTTGTGATCCTTTGAAAAGGGAAATGTGTTAATTGGGGGTAGTTCAGGTCCAATTTCTCACTGGACAATAAGTCTACTTTCAGCTCTTGGTTTGCCTTCTTTAGCACTTACTCAACTGTCCCAGATGCTTCAGATCATATCTAATAAGATCTTCATTGGAGATTGGAGATTTCACAAAGGCTTCAGCTGTGCAGAATACTGCTACTCTGTTACTGAGCAATATGTTTGATTGCTGAATCATTATTCTTCTCTGTTTCTTCATTACCTATTTCCCTATTTTGCCATATGCTTGTGTTCTGACCCCCCCCTCATCCCACACCAACACACACTCTGAGCCAAAGATAAGTTACGGCATTTAATTAACAGACTGACAGGTCCTTGGCAGCAATCCAGCACAGATAAGCCGTGGCAGCAATCCAGCA